GTAGATTTAGTACCACCAAGAGCTACACAGGATCTAATCAGAGCTACTGAAAGCTCAAGTCGGAGCGCGAGAATCTTAATCTTATAATTTCAATTCTCATACACACTTTAAGAGTACACATAATCTCATGCACAGTAATTACTAAATGATTTTTGTGTATAAAAAAAATTAATCATCCATTAAGAAAAACAACCAAAAATACCACACCGACCATGGTGAAATCAGCCAACTCAAATACAAACTCCTCTTCACAAAATCGAAACTCATATCAATCATGCCTTACCCTTGAGGATAAGTTCAAGGAGAGTGATATCAAAGAGATCAGCCTCTTTGTGGACCATCTGGCAAGGACAGAGACTTCTGGCAGAGGATCCAATATAAGGACAACCCAAATCCCTGCTATGAGGCTGAAAAGAACCTGTCCAATCTTTTCTGGGAAATATGGAGTACAGGAATTATTCTACGTACAAGAAGGATTTGAAGATGCAATAGATGACTTAGAGATAACGGATGGACAGATAGATAGGAAATGGGTTATGGTTTTGGCCCATAAACCGAGGCAGAATTGGAACAACATGTGGAAAGGCCCTGATAGATTGACAATAGGAAGAAGTACCAAAGAACAGTGGAAACAAGCACCTGTCTTGTTCAGATGAGGTGATTGCGTATCTAGAGTCAGACGCCATAAAGAAGTCCCACGATATCACCTGTCAGGAACACGCAGAAAGGGCTATGGTTTGCTGCAACAGAGCCAACATCCTTCATGGTATTAAGAGCCCCTTATCTGGACKGGAAATCAAGGAGATCCTCTTCCACTCCTTCCCCAATGCTTGGCAAGATAAATACATCAGCTGTGGTAAGGATATCCTCAAAGATTCACAACAAGAGATAATCATATTCATGACAGAGCAGAATGGACTGGCCGACAAGAATGAAAGAAAACAATCRAGGAAAAGACCAGCAGATGATAACAATAATGCAGGACAAGGAAGGAGGAACACAAATAGCAAACAAAGGAGACATGGTAACAATAACAACAACAATAATAGGAACAACAGTCAGAACAAAACCCTRGAAGAAAGACAGAATAGGCTCAATGCGTAGCCCTGCAGGAAACATAATGGACAACATCTTTGGGGCGAGTGTCGATTCAATAAGAATGGTTACAATCAAAACAATAATAACAGCAACAGCAATAAGAGGTTCACACCAGGAATGTATCTATGCTCAATGGATGAACATGGGAACATGAGCAATTTCCAACCACAATCAATMCAAACTCGGAATTATCAACTTACAAGCTCTAATTCCAGCGGCAGCCCTCCAAGCCATGTATCATTACAGTCCAACAGTAACAAAGGCTCCATGGTCCGATTCCAAGGTCAAGGATCAAATCAACAGTGGTTACATCCAAATACACCAAAAGAGGCTTTCTTTGCATTGCCTCCACCACCATCCACTCAATCACCAGTGGACAGCTTTAAATTCTATGGCCTTGATAATGAAGAAGCCCTTAAGAACCCCACGGCGGTCACCTTGAGAGCTCTGAAAACACCACCGAATGTGCAGGATGTACTACCAGCAGTCATCCTAGTATGCAGGACCATCCAGGGCCTACTGACAATGAATACACTCAAGGTCCTCCTAGATAGTGGGAGCACAATGTGCTTGATTCATGAGTGTTGCCTTCCACCAGGAGCAGTCCCCTTCCAGGACAAGTTCAGTTCAGTCACTACMACAACTCAGGGAAGTTTTGATACTTCAAAGTATGTCTTCATCTCCAATATTYGGCTCCCTGAGTTTGGGAATGGTAAATACACCAGAGGAATCAATGCGCAGCTCTTTTCAGCCCCTTGCAACTATGACATGATTCTAGGAAGGGACTTCCTACTGATGASAGGGATAGACCTATTCTATTCAACACGGACTATCAGATGGTTAGGCTCAACCATCRATATRAAACCAGTAGATCATTTCAATGATCCCCAGCATGTGGCAGAAGCCATGTGGATTGCAGAAGATGATGAACTCCTAGATGGAGGATTCCTAGAGTTTCATCTACTCCCCCCAAGCAGCTGCCGRCCACAAAACTGCAGACATGCAGTTGGTTCAGACAGTTATTTAGCAGCAGATGCTGCCAGGGCTACTGTAGATACAGAACCCAAAAAAATYCTGGACGCGCAGTACCAGAAGGTGACTCCAGAGCAGGTTGCAGACCAGCAGGAGCATATTACCAGTTCAGAAAGACTAGCATTCACAAAGATGCTGGCCAAACACCAGGAGTTGTTTGATGGTAAACTAGGTCAATATCCTCACGAAAAGATCCACATTGATCTACAGGATAATGCAGAACCAGTTTACATAAATCCATACCCAGTTCCCTACAGACACAGAGATGTCTTCAAAAGGGAATGCCAGCATCTAGTCGATGAGGGGGTGATTGCTCCCACTGGCAATTCAGAATGGGGCTTTCCAGCCTTCATCATTCCAAAAAAGGACGGCAGAGTCAGATGGCTTGTTGATCTAAGAGAACTAAACAAGAGGATCAAACGTCCTAAGTTCAACCTTTCCAAGATTCAAGACATCATGAATCAAAGAACATGGTATGATCACTTCACAAAGATCTATACGGTTAAATTATATGTGCGTGGATTAGCGGCCATCTAATTAGCGTGTGATGACTCATGGGATTCAAAATTGGCTTGTACTGGAGTTTACAGCTGGCACGTGCAAGCGAAACTATTTTGCAYGTGTGAGCAAGACTATTTTGGTGGTGCACGTGCAAGSAAAACTATTTTGGTGGGATTCAAAAATTCGAGTACTGAGCACGTGGATTTCGTATGTATATAATTTTTAGTCAAAGTAGTCATTACACGCAAAAAGATGGCCGTACATTGGCTGGCCAAGCCTATACGATATGAGAGCTTGCTCAATTTACCACCAGTATCAGAAATGGAAAATCCAATAACAAATGCAAGTCTCTACGCTTATCAGCTTATGGACMCCCAGTGTCGACACCTGCTTGAAACGGATCAACGATATGTTAAGAGAAGGATAGGCACCTTTGAGTTACTCACAGGGTCCACGAATGATAATAAGTGGAAGATCTACCTGCCTGATGGCCTTGTAGATAAGACCCTCAGATGGTACTACCTCTTATTGGGCCATTGCGGGAGCACTAGACTATATGAAACTATCAGTGCTAGGTTTTATACTCCACGACTCAGCCAAAAATGCAAACAATATCAGTGTCCAGATGAGTGCCACAGATTCAAACAGCAAGGACAGGGACACGGCTTATTACCAGCCCAAGAGGCTCAACTTGTCCCTTGGAATGAAGTATGCATGGATTTGATTGGTCCTTGGAAGACACTCCTGCCAAATGAAACTGAATTAGTGGTCAATGCCCTCACTTGCATCCACCCAGTCACCAACCTATTGGAAATCATCAGAATCAACAACAAATCAAGTGAGCATGTGGCAGAGCAGTTTTCTAACTGCTGCTGGTTGTCAAGATACCCACGACCCAACAGGTGTATCCATGATAATGGCAAAGAATTCATCGGAACCCCATTCAAACAGTTACTGAATCAATATGGAATTAAGAGTGTCCAAACTACAGTGAAAAATCCACAGACAAATGCAGTATGTGAGAGAGTTCATCAGACAATTGCTAATGTTCTACAAGCAACCCTTCACACAAGCAAGTCTCTTGAAGAGGCTGATTTTGATGAAAATCAGATAATCGACAATGCACTAGCATCTGCAATACATGCGAATGCAGCAGTGAAGACATCACCAGGTGCCTTGGTTTTCAACTGTGACATGGTAATGGACATCCCTCTCATTGCAGACTTGAATCTTATCAGAGATAAAAGACAGCACCAAATCAATGAAAATCTTAGGAGAGAAAATGCTCGGAGGATACCCTTCAAATATCAGGTTGGACAACAAGCTTACATGAAACACTATGAACCAGATAAGCTTTCCCAAAGATTACATGGTCCCTATCCCATTGTGGAAATCAACACAAATGGAACTTTAGTGTTGCAAAGAAGTGACAACGTATGTGAGACTGTCAATTCCTTACAAGGGACTTAATGCATATGCCACTCCTGAGGACCCAGCAGCAGTGGAGGAACCCCCTGCTGAAAACATTGGAGATATGATTGCTACAGTTTAATAGTGAGTTATATTGA